AAAAAATGAAATTCAGCTTAAAAATGCATCTTCCTGAAATTTCAAGCCTCTTATGCATTGGAGCTGTTGTACTTTTGATAAATTGCTTTTCATCTGCAAATGCTGAGGAGGTCACTTGCTCTGGGATTGTACCCATGAGGCTTCGTGATGATAATGTATCGATTGTGGATTTTGGAGGTGTGGGTGATGGAGAAACTCTGAACACGAGAGCTTTTAGGGAGGCGATTCGCAGGATCGCGGACTCGAACAGGACAGGTGGCACCCTCCTATTCGTCCCTAGCGGGGTGTATTTAACGGGGCCGTTCAATCTCACTAGCCGAATGACTCTGTATTTGGCCAGAGGTGCTGTTATCAAAGCCACAATGGTAATTGTTGTACATTTGTCCTTTATAGTTTTGGTGTATTTAGTGATTACTATCTTAATTTGCTTTGAGAAAGTGTTGTGAATATGTGCTGGATTCTGATAGTTCTGTTGTCTTTTATGTGTTGGTAGATTTTGTTGGTGGTGACGTGATTAAGCTAAGCATTTAACTAACTTTATTTCATTTGCGACATTAATTTTATTCCAGCACAATGAAAATGTGTGTTTTGTATATATATATATATATATATATATATATATATATATATATGTTTGTTTTTCTTTTAGAAAATGAGTGAATAAATTCACGTCGTAAAAGAACTTGGTATTGATATTGTACAACCAAAAATATTTATTGAACTCCTATAAGCAGTTTGTACGGATCAATGATGAAATAGTTCAATAGTTCCTATGAGTTCAAATTAAGTCTTCATTGTGGGTTGTGATTGACTCTGTACTCTTTGTGCCAATGTCTATGCTTATTCTTTATGCCTATATTCTGTTTAAGAACTGTAACATTGTTTGTCAAGATTAACCTCATCACATAACAACAAATGATATTGATCAATAATTCAATATCCATTGCTACAGGATACTACACAGTGGCCCTTAATTGCCCCTTTGCCTTCATATGGGAGAGGAAGAGAAAGACCTGGAGGAAGGTACATGAGCTTCATCCATGGGGATGGACTTAATGATGTAATTATCACAGGTCAGTACAATATTCTGAATATGCATATCAACATTGGTTGAGATCATTATAAAAGTAAAAATCCTAAAGGAAAGTTTTTTGATGAAATGATCGTGAGATTTAGCTTTTTAAATTTCGAAGAAAGTGCTGCGGTGGACTAATAATGGTAGTGGCATCAAGTAGAGTACTATAGTTCCTTCCAGTCGTTCAAATGAAACTGAGTTATACTTTCTTTTTATTTTTTACTTTGCTTTTTATACAAACATACATACTATCTCACAAGGAATGTTGTTAATTTTCCTCATTTTGTGATAATAATATGATAGGAGATAATGGGACGATTGATGGCCAAGGTAATGTTTGGTGGAACATGTGGAAGAGTAGAACTCTTAAGTACACAAGACCCAATTTAATTGAACTGATGAATTCCAGAAATATACTCATTTCGAACATTACGATGAAAAACTCGCCATTTTGGACCTTACATCCTGTGTATTGCAGGTAACACAAAATTTATGCCCATATTAAATTCACTTACTTGACTAGATATTAGTTATTATTTTTTATCTAATATTATATTAAATAAAATTTCAGCGGTCTCGTTGTAAATTACGTCACCATAGTGGCTCCTGCTGATTCTCCAAACACCGATGGAATAGATCCAGGTTAGTATTAACCGATTCAACATGAGTCTATTGTGACTTTGTGAGTAATTACTAATTTGTAATAAGCAATCTATGTGCTCCATTTTTTGTGTTACTTTACCCTTATGCATGTCCAAGCCACCAACATTAGGAAACAAAAGAGGAGAAAAAAACACATCTCCTTCTGAATTAGAATTACTAGGGCGGGCGATTGAATATAAATCAAAATCGATTTTGATTGGCTTTTGAGTTAAAAGTGAGTTGATTTTAAATAAAGTTGATTCAATGGAGGATTAAGTGAGATTTTGAGTTTGTATTTAAGTAATATTTAAAATGTAACGATTAAAGATGATATGTGAGATTTTGAGTTTGTATTTAAGTAATATTTAAAATGTAACGATTAAAGATGATGTGATGTAAAAAGTATGAGAAAAGTTATTAAGAACTAATAGGTAGTTAAAAATATATGAGTGGATGAATAGCGAATTAAAGTTGATGTGATATGTGAGTATGATTAATTGATATTATTTAATTATATTGATAGTATTGAGAAGAGTTGGTTGGATTAAGTTTAGTTGGATTCTGAGTTAAATAGTGAAAAAAAATGTCCGATTGGTCAAAATCTATTTTAATTTGTAGCTAGTGCTACTAAATTAAACGAGCCTGGCTCGGCTTGTTAAGACTCGACTTTGGCTCGGCGAAGGCTTGAAAAGAGAATTTTTATATACTTTTCGGCTCGTTAAGGCTCGATCTCGGCTAGTTTTGTTAGTAATAAAAGAGCCGAGCTCAAGCTCGATTTCAGGCTCATTTATTTACAAATACTGAAACTTTCCAGACTCCTCCACCAACGTATGCATCGAGGATTCCTACATATCGACCGGCGATGACTTAGTCGCCGTAAAAAGCGGGTGGGACGAATATGGAATTTCCTTCAACCGCCCGAGCAGCCAAATCACCATCCGTCGCCTGACCGGCTCATCCCCCTTCGCCGGAATTGCGGTCGGCAGCGAGACCTCCGGCGGCATCCACGACATATTTGCCGAGCACATAAACCTCTTCCGCATGGGAGTCGGCATCCACATAAAGACGAACATCGGGAGAGGTGGGGTCGTAAAAAACATCACGATCTCGGACGTTAATATATTTGGTGCCCGAAAGGCGATCAAGATAGCGGGGAACGTTGGGGACCACCCGGACGAGAATTACGATCGGAACGCGATTCCGATTTTGAAGGGTGTTGTGATTCGGGATTTTTGGGGGGAAAATGTGGAGCAGCCGGGGCTTATTCAAGGTTTGAAACGCGCGCCTTTTGATGGGATTTGTCTTTCGAATGTTACTTTTGGTTCGGTTGTTGGCGGGAAAAACTTGGCTTGGCAGTGCTCGGATGTGAGGGGTGGCGCGGAGAAGGTTATCCCGATGCCGTGCGCGGAGCTGCTGAGCGGCCAGGAGACGGGTACGTGCTCGTCGAGCCTTTGATTTTTTTTTTATTTTTTTTTGAAATTGTTCCTACTTTGGCCACAAGTAGCAAGGGGGAATATATGTGATTTGATGAAATTTATGTACAATTTATGTGTGCACATGTATTGTATTCGTGGGACAACTTAGTTATGGTGTAAAATTGTAATGAAGTGAACAATTTCTGTTAGAAAAATGTAATGGTGTGGCTGTTAGAAAAATGTAACCAGCAGAAATGAATAATGCACATTTAACAATTTGTATATAAATTCATATGATATCCATTTGCGAAAGAAAATGTTGAACGACTTGGAAACTAAACAAACCCAAGAAAATATGTGAGAATTTCTCAAACTGTGGTATGTGTCAAGACTAAAATGTTTATGATATTAAGATCTAACTATAGCTAAACAATAAAAGTCTTCTTCATCTTGATATGAACATGTGGAAGTTGTTCATTGGTTGCACAAGAAGGATGATTGTCCATTATAATAAAGCCAATAGATTTGCCGCAACAAAGGTCCAGTCACACTCCAAATTGTGGAATTTTATCTATCTTTTTCTTCCAAAGTTTGAATTGAATTCAACTTTCACAAGAATGAAAATCATAATCTAGAATTACCTCTTAACAACTTTTTTTTTCTTTTTAATGAAAAACCAACTTGGATCTTCTGTAGCACTCGGTCAAATTTTAGATGCATTTTGGGCGAAAAAATTTGGAAACTTTAACAATGATTTTGACAAATTCTGACGAATTCTGAAGTATCGTATAATGATATTTAAGGTACCGTTGGATAGATAAAGTCGAGAGCTTCAAAATATATATTTTATTTAAATTCGTCACCGGAGTCTGCGACATCCAATATTAATCCACCTAACATTTGCATATGATGTCAATAGTGCATACACTCAAATTTTGGATCATTCACAAATCACAATATAGTGGGTACAACTATTATAATTGAATTATCCACAAACGCAATTCGATCAGCTTATAATTTTATTTAAACTAGCCGAGTTTATTATTAAACGAGCTAAGTCAAACTTATTCATAAACGAACATTTTGTTTTCACAAACTCGTTTTATGATTTTAGATTCATGAACAAGTTGAGCCAAATTTTCACGAACTTAAATGGAGTCGAGCACAAACTTAAAAGTGAGCTATTCAGTTCGGCTTGCGTCGATCGGTAACACCCCTAGTACTGACACTTTTATATTTTGTAATTTCATGCAAGATTGAATTTGTTCACACTCAACCAAGTACGTATTAAATAGTTTACGAATGAGTGTGTGACATATAAATCGTAGCATTGATGTTCTAACACTTGAAATTAGGAATTTGAATTCACTAAATAGACCATGTGTGTTATAATCAAATCCCAATCATGAACAAACACACTCCCTAAACTAGCTTCAAAACACCAAATTAGTATTCAAAGATATAAGAATTAAATTCAAATTCTTTCCAAAGACCCTTGATTTTTCTTAATGGCACTTTTGCCGTATTCGTTACTCTTATCGCACGCACGCACACGCACTAATCAATATCACAAAGGTATTTGAAGACTTTTTGGAACATTTGAACCGGTCAGCACTTGGACCTCACACAGTAGTACATTGATCGGTCCACTTATACACGTTTTCTCCACTTATACACGTTTTCTCCAGTCAAACTTTTTACTTCAGTCCACATCATTTTATTTCATCCAATCACCATTTCTTAAAAGTGAAAAAATTACAAACATTATGCAAATAATCTACAACAGGGCTATTTAANAAAATAAAATTAATGTCTAATATTACATATATAAGCTCTTGAGTCCAAGTATTTTCCAGCACAATAAAACTTCCATAAATATCATATCCCTTTCTTTCTCTCTCTATATATATTTCACTCTTCATAGCTTCTCACATAACATATCTAAACAAAAAAGAAAAAAAGATAGAAAAATATGGACAATGGTTCAAGTTTACCTTGGGAATACATCACATTAATCAATGAGCTAACTCAAGGAATGGAAAAAGCTAAGCAGCTCCATTTTCATCTGTGCTCGACATCTCCACCCGAAGAACAAGACTTTCTGCTGCAGAGGATATTATCGTCTTACGAGAAGGCCCTGTCTATTCTAGAATGGAATGGATCACCAACCTGGCAGGCCCAAATCCCGACACTTGGCAGGCCCGATTCATCGGTTTCGACAGACGGGAGCCCGATAAGCGAGGATTTGAGTAAGACTTCGAGGGATCATCAAGATTTAACTGCAACAAAGAAGAGGTGAAGTGAAACATTTTTTCATCAGCTGTAAAAAATTGTATTTCAGCTTCCT